ACACACACACACACACACACACACACACACACACACACACACACACAAAACATAAAGGCTCAGTCTGGAGGGAAAAATTGCCATGTTTCTCTTCACATAAAGTTTTTTTTTCTTTTTGATTTTTTAAATTTATTGCAATTTATTCACTTTGTATACCAGCTGTAGCCCCCTCCTTTATCTCCTCCCAATCTCATCCTCCCTCCCTCTTCTCCTACCATACTCCTCCCCCAGTTCACTAATAGGGGAGGTCCTCCTGCCCTTCCATTTTACCCTAGCCTATCAGGTCTCATCATCATTGTCTGCATTGTCTTCCTCTATAGCCTGGAAAGGCAGCTTTCCCCTCAGGGGGAGGTGACCAAAGAGCAGGCCACTGAATTCTTGTCAGAGACAACTCCTGTTCCCCTTGCTAGAGCAATCTCCTGGACATTGAGCTGCCATGAACTACATCTGTGCAGTGGTTCTAGGTTATCTCCATGCATGGCCCTTGGTTGGAGTATCAGTCACAGAAAAGACCCTTGGGCCCAGATTTTGTGGTTCTGTTGCTCTCCTTGTGGAGCTCCTGTCCTCTCCAGGTCTTTCTATCCCCCTTTTCTTTCATAAGATTCCCTGCACTCTGCCCAAAGTTTGGTTATGAGTCTCAGTATCTCCTTTGATAACCTGGTGGGTAGGGTCTTTCAGAGGCCTTATGTGGTAGGCTCCTGTCCTGTTCCCTGTTTTCTCCCTCTTCTGATGTCTAGAAGGTTTCATGTGAGGCAAGTGAGTGCCTCCTGGGGGTGTTATAGAGAAATTCCTGTATTTAAGAGGGATAATTAATGGATTTTCAGGGTTTTTCACGTTTGGAGATACTAAGTTCCCAGAAACATCTGTAAAACCTGGTTAATATGTAATATCTGATCTTTTGTATATACTATATGACCTTTCTATGTTGTTCTCATTACATTGTAGGTAAAAGTCTCATTTATTAGCTACTCCTATAGTGAGAATGATTTTACAAGGCAGATAAATAACGTTTAATAATAATTCATTTGAGGAAAGAGTTTTGATAGCTGTCTTCTTGTAATTTTTGTTTCCTATTACTCCTGATTTTCCCATGCAGTTGATTAATATATTTAGTTGCTTATTTGTTTGAAGGGACTCCAATATAAGGTAGAGAAGATTGCCTTCTTTCTGTCTCTCTCTTTTTGGCCATTTTTTGATATCATCAGTAGAGTAAAAATTCTTTCATAAGAGAGTTAGCATCATATACCTAATTACACTAAAGTGTAAAAGATTAATTTCAAAGTGAAACTTGCTAGGAACTTACACAAAAACTGATAACTGCGAGGCTGTGCATTATTTCTAAGACTATTCTTGGCTACTTCAGTTTGAGCTTTGTGTCCTCCATACCCTTTATGGACACTAAGATATTCTACAACTTTCTAAGCTGAGATAACTGCCAGGAGTGAAAAATAATTCCTGTCTCTACACTTACAGTTAAATTCTGCCACTCAGAGATTCAATTGACCTGTCTGCTCCATTGTGGAAGAAATCAGAGTCGTACCGTTTATGAATTAATTTCAGAATTTTTGTTTCAAAATTGCTGTTAAAAACTTGCCTTTCTATGTGTGTCTTTCTGCTTCTGGGTTACCTCACTCAAGATGATCTTTTCTAGTTTCCACCACTTGCCTGTAATTTTCATAATTTTCTTTTTTTTTTGCTCAATTTTTTTAAATTTCATTTTATTTTATTAATTACACTTTGTTCACTTTGTTTCTCCCCATAAGCCTCTCCCTCCTCTCCTCCCCACCCCACCCTTCCTCCCCCTTCTTCACGCATGCCCCTCCCCAATTCCACTGATAGGGGAGGTCCTCTCCTTCCTTCTGATCTCAGTCTATTAGATCACCTCAGGAGTGGCTACATTGTCATCTTCTGTGGCATGGTAAGGCTGTTCCCCCCTCAGGGGGAGGTGATTAAAGAGAAGGCCAATCAGATTATGTCAGAGGCAGTCCCTCTTCTCATTACTATGTAACCCACTTGGACACTGAACTATCATGTGCTACATCTGTGCAGGGGTTCTAGATTATCTCCTTGCCTGGTACTTGGTTGGAGTATGAGTCTCTAGGAAGATCCCTGTGTTTAAATTTTCTGGTTCTGTTGCTCTCCTTGTGGAGGTCCTGTCCTTTCCAGATCTTACTATTTCCCACTTCTTACATAAGATTCCATGCACTCTGCCCAACTGTTGGCCATAAGTCTCTGCATTTGCTTTGATAGTCTGCAGGGCAGAGCCTTTCAGAGGCCCTCTGCAGCAGGTTCCTAACTTGTTTCCTGTTTTCTTCTTCTGATGTCCATCCTCTTTGCCTTTCAGAATGGGGATTGAGTGTTTTAGTCAGAATCCTCTCTCTTGATTAGTTTCTTTAGATATATAGGTTTTACTAGATTTATCCTATATTATATGTCTAAACGAGTGAGTATATACCGTGTGTTTCTTTATGCTTCTGAGACAGCTCACTCAGGATGGTCCTTTCCAGGTCCCACCATTTACCTGCAAATTTCATGATTTCTTTATTTTTCATTGTAGAGTAATACTCCATTGTATAGATGTACCACAATTTCTGCATCCATTCTTCAGTTAAGGGGCATCTGGGCTGTTTCCAGCTTCTGGTTATTACAAATAAAGCT